ATATATATATAAATAATATTTCTTTCACTCAATTTGCACTAAACTAAATTACCCTCAAAATGTCAAGCCAGATGTAAACATTAGGGATACTAGTGAAAAATTTACTTAATGCCCCAATTGCTATTGATTTTGAAGTTGCAGGACACACTGCACTTGGGTAAAGCTAGTGCACCAAGTTGTTTAAATATGTCATAACTCCAAATGTATTTAAAAATGTTTTACACTGAAATAAAGCCTGTGTCTTAAGGAAGTTTTTCATCACATTAAATAAAAGAATAAGTTCAACATTGAAAAAGAGAATCTGCCAAAATTTAACTTGTTTCCAGCTTTAGAGCAAGACAGTAAAGCAGAGAAAAATAAACATTTCTAAAACCAAAATTCTTGGCTAAGATTGTATGTCAAATCTAAGTCTTTAACATTTAACAAACTGATTAAAACTATGAAGTAAATTGTCCTTGTTAGTGAGTGTAATGAGGGACTGCTAACTGAAATGTACAATTAAAATTTGTAATTGCCATGCAAAATTACATAGTTGCAGGTTGCTACTGGGCACTGACAGGAAATGATTGCTTGCTTCTACTACTGATGAAATCTCAGCAGTCATGTTTATTTAAAACCAGCTCTTTCATTCACAAATTCAAAATAAAAACTTTATTAATATTTCTAATTCTAAGTTAATTGTATTAGGTTGCTAAACAGCACATTATGTCTTTGGTAAATCCACCCCTGAGGATGATAGCTTACCTGCCACACTACTGCCTCCCTGTGATCTGCCGCTGTGGACAAGCACACACTCAGCACAATGGTGTGAGAGGCAGAGGTAAGGATACTGGCAATGATGGCTTCCCGCATAGAGAACGGTAGCATGGTGTAAACCACAAACACAATGAACAGGAAGAAGGACACCTGCAGAGAAAAAGACTTGCTTAAAATACATCTCCTGAAAAAAGTGGAAATTAAATAGAAGGGAGAAAATTAGAGATGTTAAAGTAGAAAATTTGTGAAAATGTCATAGAAATATATACAAAACAGTAGCATAAGGACAGGATATATACAGCATATTAAGCATCAATTATTTAATTAGTGTTGATAACTAAATTATAACTACTTTATAATTGTAAGCAGTACTGGCAAAGTGCAGAAGACATTAAGGGTTAGTCTGCCTCTATATCACAAATTTAACACCTGCAATGTAATACTGGCTGAGTTTCCACTTTCAACCGAAGGGTTAAAGTTGTTTATCTGCTGCCCTGCATTAACAGACAGAGGCCAGTGTTCTCACAGGATACAGCCTGCCATTACTTAACCTTTCACTGCTTATTTGTTAGGCAGCAAAGCAGAGTGGGGGTTAGTGACATGCAGAGAGTTCAGCAAAAAAAGAATGCCAAGAAGAGAGGTTGATAAAGCAGCTAAATGTGAATCAGGCTGTAACATAACAAGAATTTTCTAAAAAAAAGGGCATTCTCAAATATAGGTGAATGTTCATCCTTTAAGAGAGAAATATTATTAGACAGTGTTATACTGTTTAATACTATTTCTTCATGATAGATACAATGCAATTTCTTATTATTCATCTTGATATGGACAATACCTCCTTTAAAATCGGACTCTAAATCAGATGCAAACTGCTTTCCATGTTAGCAGGCGGACACATCTTTGATGTACAGTGTCTATGATTAAACAGAAGCAATGTTTTGACTTAAAAAAACGGAAACATTCCACTATAGCCACCAATTATGTAGGCAAGACAGCTGGATTGTGGAACAGAGTATGAAGAAAAAAATGAAATAAAACTGACAATTACTTAAATCATTTCCTTTCTACATCTGGTGCAGTGGAAACAAACATTGAAATATATCCAGCAAAATATTAAACGATGTCAATCAGAAACAACTAATGGTGACTTTCAGTTGCAAGTGATAGGACACTAATTGATTATAAATGTCAATATATTAAGAGAACGCAGTAGCGGACAAAAAAAAGTGAAGTGACATCACTGTAAATGACTCTATGTCAGAAAGACTTTTTGTATTACTATTTTAGATCAGCGTTATTGTTATCATTACCACAGTATTCTAAAAAGGATTTTTGGATTTCCAAGCACTGCTTGTAAAAACTTAAATTAACTACCAGCAGACATAACATTCTATGTATAATGGTGCATCTGTCATTGAATGATTGAAATCTGCAAGTGAAGTTGTTTTTGAACTACCATTTAAGATTGTTGCCACCAACATACGCATTTGTATAAATCCATTATCAGAGGATAATATGAGCCATTTTATGAGCTAACATTATTAGCATATTCTAAATTCAGCTCACCATCTGTCATGGTCTTGGCGCTGATGTCTGGTCTGATTAATCATTTCACTCATGCTTATCTGCGCCCAGTTCTCATTGCTGTTCATCTGAACAGAGACCTGCTGCAGTCTCTATTTAACCAGACCTCTAACCAGTCATCAGTGCCAAATTATTCAAGCCTGGTCTGTTTCTGAATGCCTGATTCTGACCCGTTTTGCCTCTGGATCTCTGAGCCTGCCTGTCCCCATTCTCATCTGTTTGCCTGACCTGTATTTAGACTCCTTCCAGATTTCTGCCTGTCTGTGAACCAAACCTGGAACTGTTTCCCGACTTCATTCTTGATTTCCCTTTAGTACCTATTTAGACCTCTGATCTCCTGGCTCTGACTGTAAGCACATCTTCGGCACCGGCTTTGGCTTCATCCTCTGGATTATCCTGCCTTCCTTCATCTGCTTGGTTCTAATCTCCTGCCTGTTTTCTGACCCCAGCGTCTGAAACTCTCTGGGCAGCACACGCCACATCTTGTTAGCAGCCAACCGGCTGGTTCCTCTGGGAACGGACTGAACTTTAAGACCAGGTTAGTGGCTCACACGTTCATCAGAAGTGGTCACTAACCTGCCTTAGACGCCGTTGCTGTTCATTGTAGTTTTTTTTCTAGTAAACGTTTTGAGAAATCTTATTGTCTGTCTGCCTCAAATACTGGATCCAATCATTCTGAGCCTGACACCATGTGTATTTTGATGCCCTTAAAGGGCTAGGGGAGAAATACCTAAAAATTTCAATCCTGCTAGAAGACAAAAGAGGATGCATACTAGTAAACACCGGTTCACCCAATTAAGGTCAGAAAACTGACATTTATTCACAAGGTAAAGATGTAACAGCTAAAACCCAATACAGAAGTGAATAGCTAATTGCATGTAACTATTACCTCACTCTGGAACATCATTGGTTTACAAATACTTTTCTGAATTAATGTGGTGAAATCCAGGGCTGCCAACTAAATCGCTGCAAGTATACCAAAAATGATTTAAAAGGTTCTGATTGAGTTATGCATGTCTGCTACATCATGCTTTAATAAACGGTAATAGTAGTCCAGGGACCCTTAGCATATGGTGACCCTCTCCTGGGACAATTATATGAATATGAAATCTGTAATCTTCATGAATCCTTTTCTTTTATAATGGCACTAAAAACAGTCAATAAAACTAATAACGTAGAGAGAACAACAGTTACTGCGGATCAGGCTTTTAGCTTAGAATGGTGATTTGATTAGGTTACAGGTCAGATCTAACCTGTAACCTGTGAGTATGGAAGCCAGTAAAAATCAGGTACTGACTTCTGCCCTGCTATTTAACACCAAAGCAGACCAATGTTCATTTAATTTCTAACCACTCAGAGTGAAGTAAAGGGTAAAAGACAGTTCAGATGATTTATACTGAAGATGTGGCAATAAATGGAGTGGGTGAAAAACAATCTGCCAGTTTGGCTGGTTCGTAATTTCTGCCATCAGTCTTCACACGGTAATCACTAAAATAAATTAGGCACAGACACAAAATTAGTCTCCCTCTTTTACATCAAAGCACATACTTACTCTCAGTCTCTCTCATTTTATATATCCCAAAGCCCCTTACCCCCTCAGCTGTCTTTCTCATCACTGGTTTTCCTTTTTCTGCTGCCTACCCACTTCTTTGCTGCTCAATTCTGACAGGGACTTTCCTAGACCAAGACCTCTGTCTGTTAAATCTTAATGAGAATGGCTGTATACCAAGTGTGTGTGTGTGTGCACGCGCATCTGGCAGGTATCCAAGAGACACAGAGGGAATAGGAAGTGAGGCAGGATCTAGACATGTCTCTGTAAGGGGTAGAGGCTGGACCACACAGATAAGCTTCTCTCCAAACCATAGGGCATAGAAGAGCTTTGTTTGGTGAGGAAAAGATACCAATTGATTTTAGATCAGAGGACAGAAAATGGTAGAAAACTAGCTAAGAATTTCTAATGGCCAAGTTTTGTAGTATATGTTGTAACTTATACTGTGCTACATTGTGTGTTTAGTAGAACTGAATTCTATACATAGAAAAATTGCCATCACACATCTACATACAAATGGTTATATGTTAAAGGTTTTAGATGAAGTGCAATCATATTCATGTCTGTCCAGTGGAATGATGAACACATGTAATATAGGACGCTGCAACAGAGAAGACTCCTCCTTAGAGTTTTAGAAAAACTTTGCATAACTCCAATAGCATCCAATTTATGCCTGTTGTGTACTTTAATTGACCGGAATGACTGAGAACTTGCATAGACGCATGTAATAAAGTATTATTCATTCAACTATATAAACATCTAAAGTACAAAAATAAGGCAGCTAGAGTCATTTTTAGAGTATATACATAAGGAATGCCTGCATTAACCTAAAGAAATGTTATTAATATGCTGTCCATGCCAAAATAATTTAAATTCACATGCACTGATATTTTGTTGATCACCTTGACCACGATACATTGGTGAATAATTGTTTTGCCAAGCCTATGCAGTGCTACAATATGTACAGTATGTTATCAAGAATCCAACCTCGAATTTGTCTTTAGCATTAAGGAGAACTAAATTAACTGGTGGGATTACATTCTCATTATGAACTGTTTATTCAGGTCATCACTTAAACTCATTCTTACGGCGTGCTGAACACGTATTTGACCAACTGGAACCACAGATTATGGTATTCCTAACTGAAGCTTGGGCTGTTGGGAGTACACATGACAGGTATATCACTTTATGCACATATACACAGATAAGGGGATAATTCTAGATCATAGTGAGCCTGGACTAATGACATAATCATAATCTTTCTTAAGTGCTCCAGACATCAATCTTTAACCAACCATTCATCTATCATCTTCAACTTATCTGAGATTGGTTTAAGGGGGCACGAGTCTGGGGGTGAAACCCAGAGATCTCGCTCCAGCAACATCCTCAAGCGCATTCTGAGGATCCCAAAGTAATAACAGCCAGGTGGAATAAATTGCTCCATCAGCAAGTTCTGGGTCTTCAATGGGGACTCCTCTCAGTGGGACATGCCCAGGAGGTATTGCAGTCAGATACAGAAACCATCTGAGATTATTTTTGATGTAAAGCAGCAAAGGCTTTACTTTTGTTTAGCTTGTGTCCGACAACAATTCCTGATTTGGTCTTAATAATATCAAATCAAAAACTGAATCTGTAAAATGTACCAAAAGGCTTTTATATAATACATTCTGGTTATCCCCGCCTCTCGCCCACCGACAGCTGGAGTTAGGCACCAGCACCCCTCGCGACCCTAGCAGGGATAAGCATGACAGAAAATGGATGGATGATATTTTCTTCTTAGGGTGGGCAAATATAAGCCCTTGTTTACCTCCCACCCTATTTGTGTAAACTGTTTATGGAATATTGTTTCCTTTTTCTGTTATGAGGTAAAATTTAACAAAATAAATAAATTAAACAACTGAAAACCATCCAAATGTGGGCAGGTCATCAATAATAAGGTAGCCCTGCAATCCAAAATGTAACAGCATCGCCTGCTGCCAAGTCTATTGCAGACTGAAAGGAGAGAGCCAAAAAGGGTTAATGGCACCTAGACGAAGCACCCTGGACAAGGTGAGAGAAGGAAGCCATGGAGCAGTACCAAGGGACACTAACCAGGGAACATGTGAGGAAAAGCTACCATCACCTACAGCTCTCCTCCTATAAAAGTGCTCATATACACAATAAACCTAGTGTAAAATCTGAGTCTGACAGTGAGAAAACAAGAAGACAAAAGAAAGCTAACAGGCACACAGACACACAGCTGAATAATTTAATATTTTAAATGTTTAAGTTGTACTGCAGAAGATAAAACATCTTGAAATAAAATAAGTCCGTGCTGCCATTAATAAAATGATAAAAACAACAGAAACCAGTTAAAAGAAAGATGAAAAAAGTCAAAATAAATATGGTTGTAGAAAACATTATGCAGGTAATAAATAAAAAACAGCAAAAACTGTTCAAGTAGTCATTAACATCTGTGCAAAGATGTACTAAACTCTAGAAAATACTAGTTTATAAATTTGTCAGACAGATGATGCCTCTACCAAAACAGTAGCTGACAGTGATATGATCATTTTGAGCACAACTAAATGGTTGGAACTGCAAAGCACATTTAAAAAAATCATAAGGGTGCCAACAGTTGAGGGTGAGAACGTTGCTGATAACCTGTGCACATGGGACATCGTACATTTCATACTGAGAAATTCCTTAGTAGAGTTTTGAATGTATCACTACTTTTTTATGTAAAGCTATGTTATGAAACCTTCAAAGTTCCCTTTGCTTTATTAGCATGCAAAGCAGTATCACAAATATTTGTCAACTAAAGATACAGTACCTTTCACATAGCATATCAATTTAGGGGTTTATAACCATTCTCCCTGTTCACACTGTTTATGTTTCTTTCACAATATAGGCTCTGTGACAGATCAAATGGATATATATATACATTTAAATTACGAAATGTGTAGAGATGTAAAGATCTTAAAGATAGTAGTCTTTTAGTTGCTTGAGATATGATGAATGATTAATTTTATTATACTGACTAGTATGCCCTAAGGGAGGCCTTAAACATCGCCTGAGCTATTGGAAAAGAGCATGTATGTATTATTTAAATCTTTTTCATTACTGGTTGCCTGAAGATATGTGACGCACATTATTTTCAATGATACATGAATCAGTTTCCCCCCCCCCATCTCATCTGTGGATAATTAGAATAATAAATACTATGCACTGAGATGAAAAGGCTAATGAGTCATTTCCCTTAACCTATAAAGTTTCAACAGCCGAGTAAAAAAAGACTGCAGTCCCTAGGAAAAAATATGTATTAAGAAAGTGGTAATTGATATTGCTGAGAAGCTGCAGAGAAGACCAGAGGTAGTATAATGGCTTAACATCTGCAGTGTGCACAAGAAAGTAATGAATGGAGAAGTGTCTGAATCAGAGCATCTTTAGCTACTTCTTTGTGATAAATGAGTCCAAACCAGACATATATCAAGGTAAGTACTGCTGAACGAGTACAGCTTTCACATGATGAAGACCTAATGTACTGTGGTGTTTTCAATAAGCTGTGGTGCAGAATGCTTGTGGTTGTGGGATCAACGAACCTAGCTCTATTGCCGTTTTTATTTCTCTGTAATTCTAGATGCAATGGAGCAATGGTAAGTGTGGTACACAGTTTAATTATAAAAAATGTACAGTACAAATCTCATGGAAAGTTCAGCTAAACTACCATATTCAGAGGATAAAAGAAGATTTCTTGGGTAAAGGCCAACATTTTTTTCTGCACAAAGATTTGCTATGCTGCTGATATCATACATTTAGTTTTTGATCACCAAAAAAATACTGCACATGTCTTATTATATATTCACTGATATTTTATGCACACTGGCCCTGCGAAGTTTTGTATCAAGAAGTCTTTATACAACATCGCTTGCATAATGATGCAAAGAGATAGTGTTTAATTTTACTGCACATTTATTTTCACTCTGTTCTTTATTTGTGTGCTTTTCATTTGAAATATTTAGAGAATTTCTTTTGTTTTATGTAAACTAAAAAAAAACTTTATCCGTTATAAACAAATGGCTTTCTTTATGGTCTCTGTTAGCTAATTGTAAATCAGCAGATAGTGTGAGAAATTACTAATTTGTAGAACGCAGAATGTGAATATGCATGAGGCGAGTTACATAGCTCAGCAACAGGAGGTGACAAGAAAGCCCCAGTGCTGGAATAGAAAGTTAGTCAGCAGCAGTGGAATATGCTACAGCAGGAAGAAAATATGTGGCTTCTGCAAGTCTAGGGCTAGTCTACAGGAGTCTGTGATTACAACCTGCAATGCAGGATTTCTTCATCTTAGCCAAGAAAGTCCCTCCACCAGAGAACTGTGTTGCAGATGAATGCCTACGACAGGATGGAGATATATATCAACCCTTCTGTGTGCCCCCCTCACTTAAAAAAAAATATATTCAACTTGGATTTTTTTTTTTTTTTTAGTTTTAGTTTTTATTTCTTAACTCCATTTTTTTAACAGTAATGTATTCTTAATTGATCATTATTTTCTTCACTTTAATGTAATTCATTTGATTTTGGAAGATTAAGAACAGTTTCACATAACTTATCTACTCATTTGGGCCTTCATTTCTTCATAACCTACCTGAGGCTGTGCAATATAGCTTAAAATCTACTCTCCCTTTTTCCTACCAAATCTGACAGAGTGATTTTTTTCCCTACTAAAGTTTAATAAAAAAAAAAATTACATTTACTTAAAAAATTAATCTCTCTGGGAGGGGGCCTTAACCTAAAGGGTAACAAAATTAAAGAATTCAAAAAATTTTATTAATTAATAAACCTGAGTAATCACCCAGCTTTAAACCCATCTATAGTAATAAGTGATCAAATATTATAACCAAACACAAACACATGTTAAAGAACTAAAACATTTACAATCATGTCTTACCTGATCCCATGGACAAATGATCCCACCAGAAAACATGAAAAGGTAGCCCATTGCAACCAAGCAAGCCCAGATGACCAAGGAAAAAACACGTAAGAGCTTCTTGAAGACAGACTCAATGCAGACGAGCACAAACACTGTCAGGAATATAGCCAGTGCTGTGGGCACAGTGATTACAAAGGCAACATGGTCTGCGATGCTCTGAAAAGGAAAGTTTAAAGATAAACACAAACGGGATCATAAAACATTTAACCATAAGTTTCAGCAAGTTAGACTTAGACTAATGCTGGGCATACATTGTACGATTGTTTCAATTTTTGTATCCAGCTGCAGCTCACACTGTATGACGAAAAGGCAGGGTTTAAATTCATGGCTCGCGATGTATGTTCTCACATTGTGTGGCCTGATGCTACCTGCTCACCCTGTACGTCTAAAAACCACGTGGCACTCAGCTCTGCAGGGAGATGGTGCTACTCAGACTCATCTATCTGGAAGCCAAACGAGTAGAAGAGGAAAAAGACAGAAGTGTCGATGCCTCCTGTTGGTGCAATTTTGTGTGCTTAAAGCCCTAAAAAGAAAATCCTACGACGTATTTGGACAAGACATGGCTGAGCAAATGTAGCTACTACAGTCTGTCAATTTTAGAGAAAAACTCTATTTCACTCACACCCCCGCCATGATTCTGTGTTTTTGTGTGAGAGGAAAAAGAATTTGCTCATGCACACCTAGCAACTTGCCCACAACAACTTTACGACGGCCAACTGAATTTCAGACATGTTTGACTTTCTCCCGACCTTATGATTCCGGATCGGGAGGTAGTCATGAATCCCATCGTCCCTCTTTACCCCCTGTACACTACATGACGCACGATCAGGTTGAAAGTGTGACTGGAGAATCGGCCCGGAAAGGGCAAAAAAAAATCGTACAGTGTATGACTGGCTTTAGACAACTTTTATTGTCATTTTGTATATACATAGTGTAAACAAACAAAGTTTCATTTAGTACAGCTTTTCAGACAGTTCATTTCCAAACAAGCAAAAATATCATCAAAACCTGTAAAAGCTAATGAATCGTTTTTTAAAGAGTATATGCTGCAAATATATAAATGTTGCAGCACTGCAAACAAAAATTAGACTAACACAAAACACGTGCTAGGAAAAAATACCACATAAGAGAAAAGCTCCAATCAAAGAAAATAGAGCAGAAAAACCAAATGCACTGATAATACAAAACCTGCTGCAAACACATAAATTGTGCTAAGTCACAAAACACATGTTAAGCAATAATGATGCAAGCAACAATTACAACTTAAAAGTTAAGAAAAGCTATAAACCAGCTCTGTATAAAAGAAGAGCTCCAGACCACTAGTAGGTACATGATGATCAGCGACTCGCGCTGTCGCGAGTGTTGACTACTGCTAATGAAGCCACACTGTACATCGCGGTCAGTGGTATTCAGACTTATTTTGAGATGCAATGTAGTGCTCTGTATTCAGTGACGTAGACAACATCTTCCTGTGCAACCTCGTTTTCAGAATTCTCTTGTCCGATTACTACAAGCGCTTTTATCATTCTTCAAAGTTTTACCTCAATTTTGGCTAGTCAAATCGTATTAAAGGCTAATAACTTCTTCTTTGTTAGTATATACTCCTTTAAGACCGTATATTTCAGTTTATTTATGTAAAGTTTGAGCATTATTTGACAATTGCCACATGGTTTCCTTGCCTCAGCAAAAAAATTTGCCGATCACTAAATGGTGTCCTCTCTCACTTTTACTGTACAATTCATCTTCAAAACACGTCTTGCCAAATCTCTTATATCTTCACAGAATTATTACTATATTGGGCTAATATACTTTTCTTTCAAAGTCTTGCGCTTTTTCACAATATTATGCTATGTAAGGCGGATGTTTAATGATTTTTACCACATCTTTCATTGCCGCTTGCATACATCCCTGTTAACTCGATCACGTGACAGGATTCAGATTTAACACTGAAAATCTATCTTTTAATTGTTAGTTAGTATTAATTACTTAATTGGAGAAGTTAAATTGAACTTTGTATATATTATTAGATAATATTATTAGATTAGTTCACAAAACGTTATGAACATGGAATTTTATCTCTCAAATTGTATATTTTGCATATTCCACTATATCGGTTGATGCCGATGAGTAATTAGAATTGGTGATTAATGAATTAAGAATTATGTTTTTTGCTTTTCATTTGGAATACAGAAAGTAAATTGTACAATTTATAAGTCCTGAAAATGTCAATGAGCTAATTATTTTTGAAGGCATAAGCAATAACTGGTGAAAAGTTGTTGAAGGTGTTTACAAGTGTTCCTATTGATTTTGCACTAAGGCAAAGGCCTAATTAGCCCCTCGAGTTTGTGATTTTTAAATTTTGATAACTTCATTAATATTTATCTTATAACAATATTCTTGGGTATTTTTTTTAAAGCTCTTGGGCCCCTTATGTATGTAAGTGTTCATTTTAAGTGATGTTGAATTTTTTTTGTCATATGCCTACCACTAGGTGGAGACGATCACAAGTTCAATGGAATGCTCAGAGACAATAAGTGTTTAAAAAAAAAAAAAAGGAGAGGAAAAACTGACCTCAAATTACCTTGGGGTGTACATCCCACTCATGTTTTGTCTAAGGGCCAAACCCATAGCAAAAACAGACATTAATTTGTAGTAATGTTTATGTGCTTGTACCATAACACTATATGACCGTCTCTCCCTACTGGTCTGGAGGACTCATGTTGATTTCAACTAATTTGCTGCTCATTTGTAGTCGTTTTTGTTGTTTAAGATGTGCAAATGTGCTTTTTTTATGTTGAATATCCATCATTTAAAATATAAAGAAAGCCATTTAGACATAGTTTCCAATAAAATAAAAGGGGGAAAACATTTTAGGGTTAATATCTTGCATGTTCTGGCTACATAAATAATGAATTGCTACTGTCTGCTGCAACTCACTTGGTTATGGAAAATGTGATAAAATTCTAGGAATTCCATCCAGTTAGACCTGAAGTAATAGCACAGTAAAAGGGGTCACTTTTACCATGTTTCTGTTACATTTCATCAACTTTTTGTCATTCTTGCTAGGGAGGAGTGAAAAAGGTCACGACATGGTCAGAATACCGCTGTCTTAAGCCTTTGTTGCTATACCAATTAAGCATGGATATACTTTGTCACATTTATCCTGTCAATGCAAATTTGGAATCAGAATATTAATTCAAAAGGGTTTGACTATTTTTTACATTATTGTCCGAATGCTTCTGACAAATAAATGTGTTCATTTATTTTATTTGTACAGACCCATCGAGCTTTGAAATGACCAATTCTTTTAAAAGATAAAATATCCTCACACTTGCCCTCTTGATTTTTCTGATGCAGTTCCCACTCCAACCTCTTCTATCCCCTTTTCTCATGCAGTCAAAGCACTGGGGTATGAGAGGATGCTTATGGAGAGCCACAGTGTTCGTCTTGCCCAAAGCACTACTTTAAAACAGCAAAGGATTTAGGTCAGCCAGCCAGAACGACGGCGAGATGAAGGGTAAAAATGAATGGCACACATAGAAATAAGGAAGCAAGAGAAGGCATTGGACAAAGGAGTAAATAAGGGTAATGGGGAAAAATATTTAAGTGAGCAGCTTTAAATGAAGAAGAAAAACACAAACGATTGAACCATTAAGGATATGGATAAGGTTAATAAATTAGGTAGCTTTAATTAAACATTTAAATATGACTTGTCAGACAGTTAATTCAAAACTGATATTTGGTGTTAAATCCTTCAGAATTGACTAGCAGTTTAAATTAGCAGGTTATTTCTTGTCAGTTTGGCCCATTGCCTAAAGTCACACATGTAATAAGGGGGGGAAAAAACGCTGGTCTAGTCTCATTAGCCATATGTGTCTCATGAAGTGGAAAACAGTCTTTCCAACACAGCTCCATTTTTGTAAGATTCACAATATTTCAAAAAGTACTGAATTGTTTGCAGGGTTTGGGTGTTCTTTGCTCCACCACAAATGATTTCACTTTCACACTTTTATTATTGCCTTATTACTATTCTCCCCTCAGAGTTAATTAAGAAGCAAACATCACTATAAGGCTTTAATTCTTTGTTTTAAATCTACTTATGTACCAAATCCTAGCAATGATAAAAAATACAGCAACATTTTCATGTACAGAAGGACATTTATTAAAAAGTCTCCTATGAAATTCATAACATTTGCATTTTATACCCTCATATTAATTAGGTCTCATCCAACAATCATGTTTTAATTAATTTAAAATCAAACAGTGTTTCCCCCCTCTTTGTTTAAGTCAGTATTTAACAGACAGATCTTTCAAAGGTTAAATCAAATAAAAAAGGCATCTTCAAAAGAATGAAAAAAAACATTCATAGGAGAGAAACTTTAATCAACTTTTTTTCTGCTCTAATTTGATATTTTTTGAACATACACTCTCAGTCATTGCTTTGGATTTTAAATGTTTTAAACTGAGTAGGGAAAATAGAGACAGAGCAAAATAGATCACTTTGAGTCAACCATAAGCTCATACAATAACTAAGCCCCTTATCCTCCCCTTTCACCTCACATTAGTGCTGCGATGAAGAGTATTTGCAGTGAGAGTAGGACTGCTGATGGGTGTATTTCAGGTACTGTACAAGCATGTGCACTTTTGCTGCCTCCGCATTGCCAAACTGATTCTGTTTGTATGTTTAATAAAACAGACCTTTTATTTTTTCCTTATATCCTTTTTTCATCCTGATAAAATGTTTCATAGATTTTTTTTCTCCCCAAGAGACCAAGCCAGGAGGGCAGAAGAACTATTTATCCACATACTGCAAAGCTGAATCTGATATGAATTTTCTGCATTTCCATTTAATGTCCTAATAAAAAGAAAATGCCACACACCTGGGTGTGTGGTCCTAAATTGTTGCTCAGTTATAAATGATTCACTTGCATAATATATATGCATATATATTTGTGTGTGTGTGTGTTGTGAGTGAGTAGCTTACCAGCCCTGAAGCAAAAAACACAGTCAGCAGAGCCAGGCAGGCTCCCATCACTATGAGAAGCAAAAACACAATGAGAGGATGTTGCTGGCTCATACAGTAGTAGGATTCATATAGCCAGTCCGGGGACCTGCTCCTCTTCCCCTCACCACCTCCTTTATCCACTTCACCAGACACCCCTGCCCGGTCAAGGAGGTACCGTTTCCTCTTCATCGCCTCTTGCCACATAGACCTTGGAGCGGACAGGGTTGAAAAAGAAGCACTGAAACCCGAAGAAGATGTGGTGGTGACCACTGAGGGGTTAGTAGTTTCCTCCACAGAAGATGGGCAATATTTGTTGTGTTCTTTTTTTCTCTTGCTGTTGTCTCTGTTTGAGAAGCTGTAGTGAGAACTCCTGAGCTCCAGTTTGTTGTTTGTTTCTTTCTCCACCTCCTCTCTTAAGTCCTTTAGCCGAAGACAACTGAAAGCTGAGGTTGAGCCTGAGTCAGAGGCAGTGCGTGCTGACCGAAAAGAACGCACCAAGGGTAGAGCGCAGCATCCTCCTCCTTCTCCCATTTCCAACATGTTTGGCTGGAAAATGAAGTGAAGCACAGCCAGAGAGTGCTCTTTAGATAGAGAGAGAGAGAGAATGAGGAAAAACAGTGGGAGGGAGGGAAAGAGATGGGGGATGGAGTAAAGACTAGGAGCGGGCTGTCAGTATGGGGGGGAAATGTAAAAGTATTTTCTCGTTATATGGGGCAATAGACAAATTGATAAGTTACACCTTGAGACATTTAAAAAATAAAAGAGGTTGGGGCTCATTGTGTTGTTCATAGTGCTCAGTCCCTCTCAGAAGTACGCTTCCCTATAAGCCAGATTTCTCAGAAACAACTTTTGTGAGTCAAACTGAAGTTGACAGCAAACGCACAAAAATACAAACTCAACATCCTTTGTGGTTCAGTATCTATGGAGATAAGCAGGAGACTGAAGTCTGCAAAACCGATAAAATTAGAAAAACTCATGTCCCATGACATTTGTTCAAATACTGTGTGCATCTGTGAAGACACAAATGAAGACACAGCACCCACAAGAGAGAATCAAAGCATGAAAGAACTGTCAACATTATCTCTGCCTTTGTAAAACCTGTGCGGAAAAATAAATAATTTATCTTGCGTTCTAAACCAGAAAAAAAGCCTTGCTTGATCACCTTATAAAAACAGCTGTGCCCAAATGAAAAAAGGTTAGAAAGTTAGGATTTTAAATTCAGGCACTCATTACACAAATTTAAACAAACTATATAGAAATCTACTATCATGTGTATCAGTAGAAGGTTATAATGTTACCTAAACAGCAGCCAATAAAGAAATCCACCATTTGTGCTGTGCAGTGTTTGAACAGACATTAGAGAACACAACATTTAGAAGCATAAGCTATAAAAATAAATAAATAAATAAGATGGCCATGTATAATAATTATAGGTTTATTAATTTTCACCAAATAGAGAGACATATATGCTAGTGATACAATTTGTATGAGTGATACAAATAATAAGAAAAAGACTCCGGTCTAAAATAGCATAGGTAAACTATTCTTCTGTCTGTTTTAAATATTTCCTTCAACAATCTCTATTTCCTTATCTGACTAAAACTTTTTTACAAAAGAAATTGGATCATAGTAAAAGCCCCATCTATCTTAAATAGGAATGGTTTTATGTTTTTCGATTTGTTACTGAGGCCAAATATTTACTAATAGGGCTCCACATTATCTAGCACCAGAGGCCTATTTCGGAAAAGCTGAAATCAGAAATTCCAGGACAACAGATAGAGCAAGGTCCGACTTAGCGTGATGTGGAGTGCATCCTGGATTCATCCATTTCACAAAGGTCACGCCAGGCTCCACAATTACTTATACATGGTAGCTACACCATGTATAAGTAATTGTATAAGTAACTGTATTAGTAATTAAGTTAAATGTAGATCTGTAGGTTTTAAGATCCAAAGAGGTCGATCACAGATTCATCGATTCAGCAAACAAAAGCTGATCAACTGAAAGTCTACCAGTGTTGGGCAAGCTACTTGTCCACTGTAGTGAGCTAAGCTATCAGTTACTCAACAATAAATTAAGCTTCACTACACAAAAGCTACCACCTAAAGAATTCTAGCAAGCTAAACAGTAGCTTAACTACATCAGAAGCTACTTAACGTTGTACCAACCTAATATCAATTCAAAATGAGTCTGACACACTGGTTAAAATATTTATTAAAGATCAGCCAATGACATCACACAGTGTAAAAATTGCTTTATGATCAGCATAATAAAAAAAAAAATAAAGTAATTACTATTAGACAAAAAAATAAACAATCTGCTGTTTTTAGAACCAAATTAAAGGTACTGTGTAGTGTTCTACACATCGAGACATGGCTATGAGTTTGCATTTAATGGCCATCTCTAGGGAAAACCAAACCCTACAAAAGGCATCTTATTTCTTTAGGGTTTCCCTTAGAGAAAACTTCTTCAGACCTCAATTAAACAGTCGATTCAAGTAACAAATGAAACTGTTTACAAAAAAGGGGAAAAAATAAAGAAGCTAATTAAGAGATAAATATACATTTATGTCTCACTGTATAATTTAATTTCTACCCACATATTTATTCATTGTATTTTGGGGGGGTAATTAATTGAATGTTTATTTATTTATTGAGCATGTATTTATTTATGTATATATTTTTATACATGGGAGAGCTGTTCCTCCATACCTCAAAAATCTTATCTGGGCAAATAAGCCTTAAAACATCTAAACATGTACTTTTTATCAGAGGATTCAACAAGTTTCAAAATCTCTGAAGATAAGGCAACGGTGTAGTATGGACAGTTGGCTGCTCTTCTCGCTCTGCTCCTGTCTCCTCCTCCATCTTGTGTGTGTGGCTCTGTGTGTCTGCGTGTGTCATTCTTTGAGTTCCACTGCAGTGCACATGCGCAATGTTTCATAGACACAGACAGGAGAGGCAGAATAGAGGCTCATGCGTGAATGTCCAACGAATAACTCCGATTGTTGTTTCAAAAATAGAAAACCTGGTTTCATTTCTTAGTTATGCCCTGGATTTTGTAGCGTTTGTGGACGCTACGTCGCTACTTCATAAAAACAATAATGTCACTACTGGAAAGTTACTTGATAAATAAAGCAGCGACGCTACCGTCAAGCTACTGGAAAATGTAGTTAAACTAATAGCTTCGCTACATGTAGCAGCGCTACTGCCCGTCACTGAAGTCTACACAATATGAAATACACATTTCCAAACATTCTCTCAACTGAAAAATACCTTAATTTAAGGAGTTACTTGAGGACCCAAATGAAGAGACGAGTTCCTGCTGATTCAATTTAAATGCAGATGAAAACAGAAGCACAAATCCAGACAACATAGACAAGAAACCAAAAGCAAGAGACGCCAGGGAGAACAACACATGAGGAGCAAAACAATGAAGAGAATCCAGCAGTAAGGAACTGCACAAGTTGTATATACTGTATATGGGAGAATGGGAGAATGAGCTCATCAGCTGATTGGGAGCAGGTGTGGGTAGAAGGTTCAAGGATTTACCTGTAATACAAAAGACTGTAGATTAAATACCAGGTACTTCATGAAAAGCATCTGGCATTGAAAAAAATTATTAAATAGCAGATATGATTTATTTATTTATTTATCGCTATTTTTTTTTATTACGACATTCAAAATCCCCTTTACATGCTCAAAAGCAGCATATCACCTTAATGTGCATAGGGTTCAGGACAACAGAAACATGACCAATTTCTTTTGTGATGTGTAGCCTAAATCGTGTTATGTGTAACACTGTAGATAATTAAATTAAATAATAAGTTCCCTCCTTTTTCAAATTCTTTCAATGCTTATTAAATCATTCAACTCATAAACATACAATGAAACCGACATTGACAATGTGGGTATTGTAAAGTATACATTAACTAGTTAAACAAAGAAGAACTTGAGTTTAAAAAATTTTCCTCCCCAATCCCGTCTTGATCCTCCCGTATTCCCCCAACCCCAGCCAGCAGGGGAAGCTAAAGCAAAGAAAAAACAGTACATAAAAAAATAACAAAAAATTCATACACACTGCATCCTTTATACTGGACCAATATTGTTTGAGCCTTATATCTCTGATTTTTCCTCTCACGTACTCTGATACGCCTCAATTTGACCGTTTATCTTTTGGATGAGTCGTTTATAGGATCTGGTCTCTGAAAGTGCTACATACCGTTCTGTGTAGGTAGGGTATTTTGTCCTTTCCAGTGTTTTAATATAACTCACTTTGCCATGGTGAGAGCTAACATAGCTTAACATATCATCTAAGAAGTTAAGATGTCCCAGTGTAGGTGTCAAGAGTAACTTGGAGTTAAGGGTGCTGTTCATTTTCCCCATAACCTCCTGCCAATAAGAAATCAGGTTCGGACACATGAGGAACATTTGAAGCATGTCTCCTGGACTTTGTTTTCATCGACAGCAGATATCAGTCACTTATTCTTGCTTTAAATGATTTAACTAGTGTCCCATATATTCGGTTTAGAATTTCGAACTGTATCAATTTGGAACATGCATCCTTTATAGGTTTTAACATTTGTTTGACTATTGCACCCCACTGCTCCTCTGTGAACTTATTGTTTAATACTGATTCCGATACCTTTTAAAGTCCTGTATTAATGTTGCAGGTTTTCTCAGTCAGGTAGCTATAAATCTGAATTACTCATCTTGGGGAGCCTTTCAATTTATTAAGCATAGTGTGGTGATTCCGTGAGTGTTCTTACCTCAGGTTTGTTTAATTTTGTGAGGCAGTCCCTTATTTGTAGGAACTTTCAGAAGTCTTTGTGGTTTGTATAATTCTTCAAATTGTTGAAATGACAGTAAGGTATCATTTAGGAAGAAGCAGTTTATACTGTCAATCCCTTTTGTATGCCAACTCTTCCAAAAGATCATTTCCCCTTCTATTTTTATTTTTGGGTTATTCCTCACTGAGGCTGTTCCTTGAGTAAAAGGGCAGATGTTTGCTTTTTTATGTAAATGCTGCCAAACGTTTTTTAATGTGAGTCATAATAGATAATCAAAAGCTTTTAATGGAGCATTTATGTCACCTTCCAAGTTCTCCCAGATTGGACTGTTGTGGTTGTTTAACATAAGACATGTTATTTGTGTAGATTCCCTCGATGTAGTTCATTCTTCTGTGACTGGTGAAAGTTATGAAGATGTGTTTTTATCCTTTAATGCCAAATGCACATTTTTGATGGTGCAGCATAAGTGTCTACCAAGATTTTCAGCGTCTCTTTCCTCGTACAGGAACGTACCACAAGCAAATGAATCTTAGTCCAGCACAGATCATCTTTGTAACAGTAAATTGCTTTGTTCTGTTCTGTGCTGAATTTTGGGGGCCCAGCGTTCTGCACAGGTACTGGATGTTATCCCCTGAAAGGCGGTAATGCTCATGCAGAAAATTATCAAAAGAAGTTCAACCTAGTTTAGCTCTTGTTTCAATTCAGTGAGTTCCTCTTGGATTCTGAAGCTGAATGGGTCCCT